TCAAACATTCATTCCTCACGGCACAGATCAGATTGTTCACTGACGCTAAACCTGTAAAATTCCGTTCTTAAAAATAGATTAAAAAATGATTATTAGCCAAAAAATTTACAAAAAAAAAACTTTCATTAAGAACAAACCTCTGCAAACAAAAGCTCCAAAATAAGTTCTGTTATTTCCGTAGAACGACTGCTTCCAGCTGCTAGATACATAAAAGCAATGGTGAGAAGGCAGTCCAGAACTGCATCTGCTGCTACTCCATTTGAAAGAACACAGTGCGCTAGTAGCTTCAGGAAAGAAATGATATCACCACCTGAACAGTTTTCGCTGTTGTTGCAATCCAAAATAACGCATTCTCATACAGGAGCCTAATAATAATGCAAAAAAAAAAACAAAAAATTCTGATAAATGGAGAAAATAAGGTTATTAAAATTACCGCAGTATTATTGCTATGATGGCTCAATATTACTAAGTACACACAAGAAACAAACACATTTGTACGACGCCTTTTTATTTTAATCAGTGCGCGGTTTTTTTTTTAATCTGTTGGTGGTAAGGTTCGTTCAACGAGAAAGGTGCAACAAGCAGCCTTGCTTCCATGCTGGAAATCGAAAATGTGCTCCAGTCATGGCCAACGCTGGATATTTCGGTTTTTGGCTTGAATTAGTGGGCGGTAGCGAGCACAGTGAATTTTAGCTGTCGATTTAGTGAGCGAGACTGTACGAGAAATACGGCCATTTGCATACAAATTGCAAGGATAACTGTGGACTATTATAACGTGTACAAACTCACAGTTGCGACGGAAGGATAAAACTCGTTGCAAAAGCAATTGCTTTAGTTGTGCTGCAATGCTGTTGAAAAGTGAAAGCTGTAAGGTGCCGCATTCTTGGTGCGTTTGTAACGAAGCAAATAGAATTTTATCCTGAAATAGAAATATCTGTTACAGATTTCGGTTCAACTTTACATGAGATTCCGTCGTACCGGCGTCGTAATACACAATTTGCGGCAAATTTATCCTAACGATGGACTACTACTTCAGGGCCTAAAAACAAAAAAAAACTTGAGACTATATGAGTGGAAATTGTCCTATAAGAACCCATTGTCAGTAGGGGAGTTCCCAATTTCCTTCGCCATTACTGGGGTCCAAGCCAATATTTTTTGAAAGGGATACAAAACGATGATGTCCTGGAAGATTAACTGTGGCAAGTTCTGAAGCGAGTAAATTAAAAGAAGTACTTTATGTTGATAATAGGTTTCTAGCGATGGAGACAACTGCTTTAATAACATCAGTGCTCGTCGATTCACAGCACC